CCGCGCAGCAGGCGGTGGGGGGGGCTTCTGGGGGCCCTCACTTCCCCGGGCGTGGGCGGCCACGCGCCCCTGCGGGTTCCATCGTCTCTGGGGAAGCAATGGGAAGCGTAAGCACCAGCTAAGGATCCAGGCCCTCTCTCTGGAGGGATGGGCTGGGGGCTATGTCTCTGGAGGGGTGTGCCAGGCCACCTGCGGAGGGGACTCCCTCTAGGTGCGGGCTGGCGGGAGTGGGCCACAGGGTGCCTGGCGCTCCTCTCTAGGCCTGAGGCCCAACTGGGCCGGTCCGTACAGGGCCTTCCGGGAGACGCCATGGCACCGCCCCTCCCTGAGGTCTCCATGGGGGCGGGGGGTTAGGTGTTTGGGGAGTCCCTGGGCAGCCGCTGGGGGCACACTGCTATCGCCCCACTGCACGGGGCCCCTGGGAGGAGGGGGCACTGCTGGCCTAGCAGCTAAAGACAATCACACGGCTTTCAGGTGGCTGGGCCATTTCTGAGGCACCAGGAAGGGGATTTCAGAGCTGAGCCCAGACTCCAGCTGGCTCCCTGCTGGGTGAAAATGGGGCAGGCCGCCCACAGAAAACTGCCCTGCCTGGCCCTGGCTGGCCCTTCACTGGATATCCTCTCCACTGCCCTCCCTCCACCCCCCACCTTGGGCAGAACAGTGTCCCATAATGCTCAGCCATAATGCTCTGCTTCACACCCCTGTCAAAAATAGCAGTCGGGCAGCTGGGGCAGAAGAGTGTGACCGTGCGGGGGTCCAGGGTGGCAGACTGACCACACAGGGCCGGGGGTGGGGTGGGGTGGGGGACAGACAGACTGGCGTCCTGGGCCCTGGCTGACCCAATCACACCGGCCTCCTTTATGCCCGGTGGTGGCCCCTGCACAGCCCAACTCTGGGGTCCACATCTTGTCACTGCTGCCCGCCTGTTCAGTCCACTGTCAGACTTGCAGCCCTGGCCTGAGCTGATGCCCCCCAGCCGCCCCAGCCCCCAGCCCCTGCCTTCCTGCTTCCTGCTGCTGAACTCAGCTGTGACAGGAGCTGGGGCGGTGTCTGCAGGCACCCCCAAATCACAGGACCCCCATCCCCCGCCCTTTGCATCCCCTCTGCTCGGCCCCATCTCAACACCCAGAGTCTAGACAAGCCCCCTCTCCACACACTGCTGTGGGTCCTGACTCAGAGGACCCTAAATCCTGGTGTGCGTTGTCTTTAGAAGAGGGCAGGGAGAGGTCTGTGGGGACAAGCGGGGGAGGGGCCAGGCCCGCGGGCACAGGTCACTCCTGGACCCATTGGGGGACAGAAGAGAAGGCGGGCTGCTTGGGGGCGGGGCCTGTGGACGACATCCGTCCAGGAGGGACCAGGAGGTGTGGGTGGTTGTAAGCCTCCCATGGGCGCCATTCATCCCGCAGGATGATGCCCACCCAGAGGGTCTCCTTCCTCTCCCCCAGCCCCCTGCATTCGCCACGGAGCCCAGGCCCCCACAGGCAGTGGCTAGGCCACTGCATGCGCAGGTGTGCGTGGGGGCCTGAGGGCTGACAGGTGCAGGCTGGGCGGGGCAGCCGGGGGCGGGGCAGCCAAGTGGAGGAGCTGTGCGTGGGGGTGGGGCGGGCGCACGTGGGCGGGCACGTGGTTGGAGGCGGGGCCGTGGGTCCTGCTGCAACCGCGAGGTCATGGCGTCCTGGATTCCGCAGCGCAGCTCTGGGGCCCCGGGAGCCCCAGCTTCTCTCCCTTGCAGGTGAGAGGCGACGTCGCCCTGACCAGGGGCGCCCTGCGACCTGCCTCAGCCGCGGGCCCCCAACTGGGGGAGCCGCTCGGAGTGCGGTGACTGGACGCCCGTCTTCCTTCCGAAAGCCGCTCAGCTTTCGGGGAACCCCGGTGCTTCTAGGGGCGTCCCCTCTGCACCCAGGACACCTAGCTCTCTTTTTGCAGGGGCGCGCCCCCTCCGGGCGTGCGGGCCAGCCGCGAGGCCCCGGGCCTCTCCCGGAACCCCCCAGGGCCGGGCGCTCCGGGGCCGGGCCATCGGCGGAACGTGCTGTCCGAGCGCGAGCGCAGGTGAGGCCCCGCGGGCGGCGGGCGGGCGGGAGGGAGGTTGGGTGGGCCCCCAGGACTCAGCCCGCTGGCTCTGGGACTCCAGGGGAGCAGCCCTCCGGTGCCCGGGGGTGGGGGCCGGCTGCCCAGCCAGAGTGACGGCCGCTCCGGGCTTGCTGCGTCTCCGGCCGTAGGAAGCGCATCTCCAACTGCTGCGAGCAGCTGCGCGCCCTGCTGCCCTGGTTCGCCTGCCGGCGCGAGGACATGGCGTCGGTGTTGGAGATGGCTGTGCTCTTCCTGAGGCTGGCGCACACCCTGGTCCCCGCTCCGGGCCAGCACGCCGTGAGTTCAGCCCTGCCCACCGCCTTCCCTCCATTCCTGGTTCCCAGGACTGACGGGAGACCTTGGAAGGGTCAAGGCAAGCCCTGCTGCTGCCCCTCCCCCATCACAGGGGGCCTTTCCGTGGGTGACCAGATGCCCTGTGACCAGCCCCTCCTCTGCCCACCTACTGGAGCTCTGCCCAGCCACCTGCCCACACACGGCCCCCAGAACTCTATCACCATTTGTACCCTTTGACAAGGCCTGGCACGTTGCAAAGCAAACCTGGAATCCTGGGGCAATTCCGATGCGCCGGCCAGGCGATGCCTGCCTCCCTGGCGCGTATCTGCGTTCACACAAGCCATTTCAGTTGCAGACGCTGGCCCCAGCCCGGGCCGGGGAGGTGCGTCCTCACCGATGGCAGCCCCGGGCTCTGGTCCCTGCTGAAGACATGCTGTCCTCGGGGTCAAGCGCTCTCCGCCTGGTCAGGTTGGTGTCCCTGAGAGGCTGACTCTACAGGGCTGTGGGGACCCTGGGCCATGGACATACGAGGGTGCCCCCCACAAAACCGATGCTCATTTGTTTTGTTTTTTGATGTGAGGGGGATAGTGCATTTGGACTTCATTCCATCAGGCCAGACTGTTGTTCACGCTTTCTAGTTGGAGGTGGTGAAAAGATTGCACAGCAGTGTGTGGCCAGATTTGTGGCACCCGGGCACCGGTTTTACCACCATGATGATGCACCTACTCACACAGGCATCTCAGTGCAAACTGGCGAAAAGCAGCATGCCTCTCTTGCCCCACACACTTTACTCACCTGACCTGGCTCTGCGCCTCCTTTTTGCTTCCGCAAGTGAAGAGGGACGTGAAAGGACAGTGATGTGATGACGCAGGAGAGGGGAAGAAAAAAACGAGGGCGGTGCTGTCAGCCATCCAAACAGTTGAATTTGAAAAATGTTTCCAAGAGTGGAATTGCAGATTTGACAAATGTATTAAGTGTAATGGAGAGGAATTTGAAGGTAATTAAGATTGTTTTGATGGGAAAAAAATTCCATTTTGGGGGGGTTACCCCCACATAGACCCCTGTGGGGCCATTGTACCCTGGCCTGTCGCACGGCAAGGCGCCCACCCCCACACCATCACAGGGACCAGAGAATGCGTGAGAATGTCCTCAGAGACAGCACGGCCAGTGGTGTGAGTGCTGGGGGGCAGGTGTGGGGTACAAGTGGTGGAGTTGGGGTGCAGGTTGTGACAGAGTTGGGGTACCGGTGGTGGGGTTGGGGTACAGGTGGTAGAGTTGGGATACAGGTGGTAGTGGGGTTGGCGGTGGCTCCTTCCACTCCACCCAGGGGCCCAGGTACGCTTCTGAACCCTCCATGAAGTTGGGGACTTGGTGGGTGGTGGATGTGAGGCTGGGGGGCAGAGAGGAAGTTTTCTGCTTGGGTTTTCAGAACCTCCCATCGAAGGCTTGGGGGTGAGGTCCAGGCCTCATGAGTGTAGACTGGAAAGATCTGGAACCGGGCCTGGGGAGGCGCAGCGGGCGGAGATAGGAGCCTGGTTGGGGCAGTTGGGAGGCTGCGGCGGCCCTAGATGTTGTGTGTCCAGTCCGAATCCTGGCTGGGTGTTAGGGCCCCTCCTGGGTAGAAGGGCAGACCCCAGCCAGGGACAGGGTCCTGGCCATTCTCTGGTGTCCGGGGGCTGAGGCGCTTTTAGGAAGCCTGGTTCCCCCACCCACGCCAGCTGCTCCCTTGGGGTGGGTGCAGGCAGAACATGGGGCTCAGAGTCGCCCCTGTCTTTCCTCCTCAGGCCCTGGGAGCCCTTGGCGGCCCCTTCAGGGTTGGCCGAGGTGCTGGGTGGGACGTCCACACCTCCTGGTCAGCAGGGGCCCTGTGAGCAAGGACCTGGTGTCACCTCTTCGGCTGATGGTAAGCGGGCCCGCCGGCAGGCATGGAGGGTCAGCCCCAGGCCCTGCCTTGTGGACAGTGGGCCTCGGAGGCGGTCCTCACAGGCCCGTCTGCCCTGCGCCCCGATCATAAAGGGGTTTGCGTGCCCAGCAGGGTCCTAGCTCTGTTTCAGGTGTGAGTGCAGCAAGTGGAGGCCCCTGGACACCCACCCTGCCAGGTTCACCCTCTGCTCCAGAGGGGACCTCCCTCTCAGTCGTGTGAGGGTCTGGGGTGGTGGTGCCCGGAAGGGACTTAAAACAACATTGACCCTCTCACAGCCGGAGCCAGCAGTTCAAATCCAGGTGTGGGCAGGGCTATCCTGGGTCTCTCTCGAGTCTGTGGTCCCAGTGTGTGGCAGTACAGCCCTGATGTCCTCTGGCTATCTTCTCGTGGGCTGTCTATAAGGAGAGCCTCAGGGCTGCTTGTGAAGCCCCCTCCCAGACAGCCACCCACAGGCACGGGCTGGTCCTCCGCCTATCATTTGGAGGGAGGTGTGGCCCATCCATCTCACCGCCTCAGCTCCCTTCCCCTGTGCCCCCTCGAAGGCCTCTCCACCTGGGGGCCGTGGGGATGCAGGGAGATGTGACCGCCCTCAGTCACGCGGGCTGGAGCAGAGGCCCCACTCTACGTCCAGTACTGGCTGCTCCTGGAGTTTGTGCCCCTCCCCAGCCTGTGCTGCTGGGGTCTCTGCTCCCCAGGCTGCCCCCAGCCAAGCACTGCCCTCAGCAGGCCACGGAACTCCTCCGCTGACCAGGACCCCTGGTCACAGCCTCCCCTCTGGCTCCTTGTCACCAGCTGGCAACAGCGTTCAAGTCAGCTGCCTGAGAGCACTTGGCAAGTCCTAAGGCTGCAGGGACTCCGGAGGCTGGGGATATGGAGCACGCACTGCAGGGCGTGCTGCCCACCTGGGGACCCCAGGGCCTGCGTGGGTGGGCAGGGGGCACTCGGGCAGACAGGGCCTGCAGTCAGGTGGGAGTGGGGGGACTGAGGGGGTACCAGATCTGAGCATGGAGCCCAGGCTGAACTGACATCACCAGGAAGCCCCAGGCTGGCGCTCTGTGAGGGCAGTTTTTCCGTGGACGCTATCTGTCTGTGCGGACACACCTGCACCTGGTGGGAGGGTACTGGGCACTGGGGCTGGCTGACTGGCTTCTCCCGCAGAGGACCCAGAGCGGAGCATCTCCAAGACCCCTGCAGGACCCCTCCCAGAGCCCCCACGCCCACCCTGGACCCCCCCACTGCTGCGCCCAGCTGCTCAGGGATGGCTGGGAGGAGTGGACACAGCTGAGCTGCCTGTGCTGGATACCAGGTGTATGGCCGTGGGTGCCCATGGGCTGGGGGACTCTGGGTTACAAGCTGGCCTGCAGGAAGCACGTCCTCCGGGTCTGTGCTTTGTGGGAGGACCAGCTACAGGCTGCACGGCTGGCCCTGGGCACGCCCCGAGGCAGCTGCTCCCTCCTGGGGGGCAGCTATTCTGGGCTACAGTGAAACCTGCTTCACTCATGAGCACTGCCAACTGGTGGGAGCGTGCCTCTTAAGGGCAGGGGGTGCCCCTGGAGGGACATGGAGGTCCCTCCACAGGGGGCTCCTTCCTCAGGGGAGCCCTCCATGGGTGGTCCCTCCACAGGGCAGGGTCCTTCAACGAGGAGACCCTTCCACGGGTCTGAGTGCTGCACCCCACCTCCCCTAGACTCCCCCCCCCACCTCCCCGGGCAGGGAACCCCCTGCTGTCCTGCCCTTGGTTGGTCCACAGCCCTCTGAAGATGCTGGGTGTCCGGGACCAGGTTCTGGGTCAGCTGGCTCACTCACTGAGGGTGGGATTTCACACCCCACCCCCGCCAGGTCTGTGGTGGGACCTGAAAAGGAGGAAGGTATAGCCCCCCTGCTGGCTGCTAGCCCCGACTGGTGGCCGGGTGAGTCGGGACAGGGTGGCAGCCAGCCAGGGATGAAGGGTGGACTGTGGACAGTGGCAGAGTCTGGCTTGCTGTGGGGGAGTCCTGGCGGGTGTCTCTGAGCTGGTGTGAGGGTTCCTGGTAGTTGTCTTTGAGCTGTGAGGGCTCTCTGTGGGTGTCTCTGAGCTGGGGTGGTCATCGTGGGTGTCTTTGGGCTGGGGGTTGTCCTCATGGATGTCTGAACTCTCAGGTGACAGCTGTTACTGTCAGCCTGCCAGATATGAGACAAAATGATAAGGGATTGGGGGTGGTGGGGGGTGGTGGGGGGTGGTGTGTGTGTGTGTGTGTGTGTGTGTGTGTGTGTGTGTGTGTGTGTGTTATAGGTTTGGCCCTCACGGAGCCCCTGCACGCCACCCCACAGATGGGCAGGGGACACCGGGACAGGGACAGCAACTGAGATTCCTGCCCAGGCTCCTGACCTGTCCCTTGTGTTTCCAGGGTCCCTGGAGGGCCGAGGAGGGGGCCTCCCCGCTGGGCTGGACAGAGCCGAGCCGTGCCCTGTGGCGGAGGGGGGCTTCCAGGAGCTGCAGGACATCCTGCTGGAGCAGTGGGGTCCGGACCTGGGCTGCGCCGGCCTGGCGCTGCGTGAGGAGCCGGACAGCCTGTTCCCTGAGCTCTTCGTCTGCCGGCCCTGGGGCCAGGGTCCCTGAGCGCGGGGCTGCGCATCCTGGGGCAGAGGGTGGATGTGCTCCGCTCCCGCTGCTGGGGGTGGAGTGGGGGGGGGGTTGTCATTAGGGAGGTTTATGGGCCCACTCAGGCTTCCCACCCAGGGTGTTGTGGGGGCTCCCTGGTGGGCCGGGTGTCCCAGGGGGGCAGTCGCTGGAATTAAAGGCCTTGCTCAGACACTGGTCTGTGAGAACCCTTCCTTCCTCCTCAGCTCCCCCACGAACTTGCAGACTGTGGGGCGCTCAGAGCCCATGGGGAGACACAAGCCTCTGCCCCCCCACCCCAGCCTCACCCCAAGGGAAACTGGGCCTGTGCGGTGGGGACAGAAGGGACACAGCTCCCAGGAGCTGGGGGAGGGGCTGGGGCTTCTCTCTGAGGCAGGGGTGGGGGAGGGGGTGCACTGGGCAATCCAGCCTGGCCTGCCTCTGACCCCTGGCTCATGTTCCAGAGTCCCACCTGCCTTTCTGTCAGGGAGGTGTTAGCCGGCACTGACCATACCGGTCACTGCCCCAGGCTGGCCAGACCTTCACTGGGCTGTGCCCTCTGCCGTCCCCTCTGGAGACACATTCTCCCGCCTCTTGAGTTGGATACAGCCCCTGCCAGCCTAGGCCTTGCACCCCGCTGACATCACCCCATTCGTCCTCTGAGTCATTGAGGGCACCACAGCGGGCGCTGCTGCAGCGGGCGGCGGGAGGGCGGGCCGGCTGCGAGGAGTGTCAGCACCAAGGGAGCAAGGGCTGCGGCGGGCCAGGCGGGGCGAGCAGCCGCTGCTGCCCACAGGCTGGCCCCAGACCTCTACTCGGGACCCTCTTGGGCACCACCGGCTTCCCTACTGAAGCCTCGGGCGGCGAAGGAGGGGCCTGTGCCCCAGGGGGGGAGAGGGGGAGCAGCACCCCCACGTGTCTGACATGGTGATCCCATGTGTCCCATGTGTGCCTGCCCACAGCTTAAGTCAGCCCTGATACAGGGTCCAGCACCCACTGCGCTGCCCGACCCCTCTAGTGGGGATGGTGATGAGCCCCTTGGCCAGGTGGTTACCCAGCACCCTCTGCCCTGTGGGCGGGTCAAAGTGGACACCATGAGAGGGATGGCAGGCCAGCCACTGCCGGGCTGAGATGAGGACCAGGACAGGGCTTGGTCTAGTCACAGGGCCCTCCGTGTCCCTGAGAGCCAGGCTGACCTGGACCCGCCCACGCAGCCCCTGGCTGCAGGAGCCGCCGTAGCCGAAGCCCCTGTAGGTGGTGGTCTGTGAACCTGTCCACAAACTGTCCCGATCACACGCCACACACCACACGCCTGCTTCTGAGCACCCCTCTGGGAGGTGAGGGGGCAGGACTTTGCCCAGGTGCCACCTGAAGCCACCAACGTGGAGGCCGAGCCAGCACTGAGAACGAGGGGCACGGGTGGCGGGGTCACCACACCTGCCCTGGTGGTACTGGGACTGCTAATGGCAAGTGTGCAGTCTGGGTACTTTAGAGAAACAAATCCACAGAAACTCATGTATAAGAGAGAGTTTTATCTAAAGGGTAAGTGCACATCAAGAAAACGTCCCAACCCAGTGCTGCCCAAGCCCACAAGTCCAACATGAACCCTTATGTCTGACACCAATCCACAAAGTCCTCCTCCATCTCACAGAGCACACACTATGATGCTGACTGCAGGAGGAAAGCTGAGTCAGTGAGTGTGTATGCATCTCAGCCTGGCAGGGGTCTCCACACGGTTGCTGCAGCACCCAGGGCTGCATCAGGGTAGGTCCATGTGGCTTCTCCTCAGGGATGTCTTACAGGAAGTGAGCCTTGCCAGCTGAAGCAGGGAACTGGC